CTTTATAAATGTAAAAGACAATAGGAAAACAGTAATATTAGCTGACGCGTTTCGTCCAATATGGACTTTTTCAAGGCAATAAACGAAAATTGGACGAAACGCGTCGGCTAATATTACAGTTTTTCGTATTGTCTTTTACGTTTTTCTGAAAGAAAATGACTATTTTGTTGTGATTTTATAACATATTTATGTTATAATTTTCGAATAAATAATATATATATATATATATATATATATATATATATATATATATATATATATATATATATATATATATATATATATATATGTGCAATGAAAACAGACAATATTAAAGGTTCCATTGGTTATAATTTATAACCGAGGGAATTTTTTACCCTGCCTCATCAGACCACACTTGCAAAGGTGAAAAATGAATTTAAATTTACATATACTTTTTATACACTTTTGGAGGGGTACTTTTAAGTTAATGGAAGGTGATATAGAAAGTGGGGAGAGAGAGTGTGTGACAGACATGGTCGAAATTAGAGAGGGAAAAGAGAGATAGTAATGATTTTAATAGTTAGGAAGGTGGGGGTAAGGACCAGACATTGACCTATTGAATAGGTCATCTCACAGGAAACGATATAGAGAGATTAAAAAAGAGAAGTAAATATGTAAGAAATCAGACGTGGAATTAGGGAGTTAAGAAAAGAAAGAGGAATAGAGATTTGTAAAGAGAGGCGTGGATATATTGTGGCTAATTTGGAAAAACTGATTTATATACTTTGCAGTTAACGTTTGATAGTATTTTAAGCGTTTTAATTTTTCAACAAATCAAACTAGGAAATAAATATAATTTGAATATAACATCAATAAACAAAACGACGTTACTATTATTGATATTTTTAATATTGTGAATAACAGTTAAGGATTAATATTTCCTAATTAAAGTCTAAGTTTTCAAATCTAATTTGAAAATTATTTCGAAATGAATCAAGATTTAAAGGTTATAAAAAATATTATCTTTACACTTAAATATATATATATATATATATATATATATATATATATATATATATATACATACATATATGCATACATACACACCACATACATATCTATATAAATATACATACATATAATCGTACACATATACATATACATACACAATATAACCGTACACATATACATATACATACACAACCACATATCGATACACAGACATATACATACATATCCTTACATACCTACACATACATATATATATATATATATATATATATATATACATACTCACACATGAAGCCATATATATATATATATATGTGCATACACATATAAACACATACACATGCATATATATAAACACTCACATATATATATATATATATATATATATATATATGCACACACATATGTATACATATATATACGTACCCACATACACACACAAGCACACACACACACAAGCACACACACACACACACACACACACACACACACACACATATATATATATATATATATATATATGCATATGTATACACACACATATATGTTAAATATTTTCATACATACAGATGTGTTTATGTGTGCTTGTGTGTATGCTTAGGAATGTGTATGTGTGCGTACATTTGGATAAATTGATACGGCGATGCTGTGGCAAGAAATGGATGCAACTAGGATCCGAAAACAGGCCGTGAGCAGCGATCGACACAAACCCTTGACACATGAGAACATCGCCGAAAGAAATGAAGACAAAAATGTGTCATCCTAATCTGACGCACTCTTATCTTTTCAATCTTGCTAAGAGCTTCGGGCCAGAGGCCAAGATACCGCGATATCTTGGAAAATGGAGGGTCCTGTATTCTTAGTCGGTCATATTGTGTACAGTACAGTACACTTGAGTCAAATATACATGCATTTGTATATTTAAGTATAATTCTACATTAGATGGATCTCTGGTAAAAATAAACCAAGAATTGCATCTCTTATCCCAATGTGTGTAGAAATATCATTAAATTGCTCTTACTTGTTCTGTGTGATGTTTCCAGTCAGGACTGTGACATTCAAGGCTCTCCACAATTTCCTGTGCTTTGTAACACTTAATAAATGCTGTCTTTTTCTAAACCTTGTTCCGCCATCCATTTACTCAAGCTCGCTAGGTGGGTTATGTGTTGTCTTCCTCCGTCTCTCTTGTCTTCAATTTGTCCTGTGAGTGTCAAATTTTCCAAACCCACTTTTTTCATTATGTGCCCTAGAAATTTTAACCGACTATTCCTGTTCAATATAGCCCTTAATAAATTTGATCTTTTTGTTATTGCTCCTAAACACTATTCCGCCATCCATTTACTCAAGCTCGCTAGGTGGCTTATGCGTTGTTTTCCTCTGTCAGTCTTAACTTTATTCTGTCCCTATGTGTATCAAATTTTCCAAGTCCTCTTTCCTCATTATATGCCTAGAAATTTCAACTGTCAATTCCTAATGGTAAGTATATGTGTTCTTTTTTGTTTCCATTTTCCCTACAACTTCGTAGTTGCTCACATCTTTAATTCATGGCATTCTCAGCATCCTTCTGTAGAACCAAATTTCAAGTATTTTCTTTTTCTGTGAGGAGATTGCCCATCATTCACTGCCATACAGGAGGACTGATATTACATAAGAGTCCAGTAATCATTTCTTTGTTTCTAGCGAAATATTTCTGCTAATAATGACTAAAGTACTGCTTCTGTTGATTTCGCATTTAAATAAATAGTTTACCATCTCCATCAAAAAAATGTGCGATTATTTGTTTATTATATTTTAGAAGTACGAGTAATTTACAAAATTACCCTCGTTCATGTAACTTGCACGTTAAAGGGTCTGTTAATTTGGAACTTTCATTACTTCACGTTCCGACACCAGTTCTCGTTCGATCACCACAGTTAAGCAAGGTCGAGCTTGGTCAGTGCCTTGATTGGGGACAGCTTGGGAATACTAGTTGCTGTAAGCATAGACGTGCGGTTAGTGTAATGGATTGTTAGTCAGAGAGCCGAGTTCTAATTCGAGTTATGATTGTTATATCCAACTACTCGCAAATATCCTTCGACAAGGTATGAACTCATTATTCTCACCTGGCTCTGGATTAATTAATACATGTTTTATCAGTAAATCTTTATGATCTCTAAAACATTATTAATCATAAGTAGTAGAATTAATGTATCTTTTCTTTAATAAGATTTCTCGAATATTCAGGAATGTAGACAAAAATAAATAAATATACTCGACTCTCCCGTCGAATACGATGTATGAGGGTCAAGCAGATCAGTTCCTCGGAAACCGACAGCCCGACAACAGCACATGAGATTTGATTATTGTGGTGAAGATTTCGTGCAGGACCGTCCACACATTTGAAGGGCCGAATACAGAGACCTGGTGCACTACGTGCCACAGGGTCCCCAAACGACCCTCCGCAGATTTTGAATTCAGAGTTGTCCTTCTCCTAGTTGCCATCCAAGTCTATAGAACCCAGTCTGTCCTGCTATTTACCCATAGCTGGAGGGAGAAGACGAGAAATCACACCTTTTCCTAAGTACGTAATTTTTCCTCAATTCGCTATCCATTACACTGTTTAATAAATAATTGGAGCATCTACTGAAATATGAGATGCAGTTTCGTTTAATCAAAATTACTCTATTTTTAAACGTTTACCATCTTTTCCTAAATGTGGGCCTAATTTCCACAAATCTATGAATTATATTTCTTTCATTCATTGTTCAGTTTTTCTTTTATTATTGCTGCCAAAACAATTCGCGTATTTACACTGAGTGAACTCCAATATTTCAAAATAAAACCGAAATCAGTATCTTCATGTTTTAACTCTTCCTTGTTCATTTAAGCATTCCATACCAAAAACGAACCCAACACTAGAAAACAACGATCTTGTTTTCACGCCAGAGGCCAAAATTGAGTTAGGGCGATGCCAATGATTTAGGATGTGCTGAACATTATACAGAAAATGTGGGTCCTACGCTGATGACATAGGTATTCATTTGAGATAAGAATGATTTAGAAAAGAAAATCAACATCCACTATGAAGAATTCAAAATAAAAATTTCTAAAATAAAAACTATGATCTGGAACTGGAATGCAAATGATATATCAGAAAAAAGTGTCGCTGCCGACACAGGAGTTTGAACGCAGATCACCAGAGAACGCACACAGGCGATCCCATTTTGAAGAAGATCATGTGATGGTAAAGGAAATGTATATATGGGTAATTAGCATGGCGTCGAAGTGATCACTCACCGAATTGCTTCGGAAGAGTGCTTGTCAAACTCTCTGCTTCCGGGTAGAGAAGAACCCAGACGAGGCTGTGCCGAAGGGCAGAGTCTCGTCTATGGTGGTGAGACAGCTACCCGACCCTGTTTTTTTACGCGGTCTACGGGGAATTTTGCCCGAACCTACGGGCTCGAAACACTACAATAAATTTGGCCTTGTGCCGCATTTCCCGACAACGTGACGCGGTAGGTGACTATATCACTCTACTGATCACTCACCGAACTGCTTCGGAAGAGTGCTTGTCAAACTCTCTGCTTCCGGGTAGAGAAGAACCCAGACGAGGCTGTGCCGAAGGGCAGAGTCTCGTCTATGGTGGTAGACAGCTACCCGACCCTGTTTTTTTACGCGGTCTACGGGGAATTTTTGCCTGAACCTACGGGCTCGAACACCCTACAATAAATTTGGCCTTGTGCCGCATCCGACAACACTATACTGATCACTGTTCCGTGGTTATTTTTCAAGCTAGCATTATCGAGCAAGTACTATTACTTCGAAGGCGTCAGACACCAGTATTGTTCAATGACGTTATTATAGCTGTATCTGCGATTACAAAGTCTCTACTACAACGAGCATTACGAAAGTTACAAGTCAGTGTTCGTTGACATTACAAAAGAAAGCAGTGATGGAATGAACACTCAATGCATCATAAAAATTCAGAAAGTGGAAATAGTAAATAGCAAGTACTTGAAATAGTTTGGTGTATGTATCAGTTATAACAGTTATAGCAAATTTAGGAGTAAAAGAAATTGAACCTAGAATAAGCTTCGCCGAAAGTAGTTTCGCTGAATACCGCAAATTGCTACAAAACCAAAACACCAACCTGAAAACTTGAATCATGTTCTTAAATAGCCTTCATTCAGAAATATCTAAACTAATAGATGTATACAACTTCTTTCTAAAATCAATGGTTAAAAATGGATTTGAACGAGCGAAGTCTGTGAATCTTGTCGAAACCATCTACCTTCGAACATTCTGGACTGGCGCTACAGAATCACAATGAACTGTGCCAAATAATAGAAACCACATGACTTGAAGATTTTTAATAACAGTAACAGCAAAAATTGATATCTCATGTGACACGACGAAAAAATGGTGACATAATCAACATGTTGACATTCCACACTACTTCAAATAAGTGGTTAGGAAGAAAACTCCATCAATAACTGGAAAGAGCAATAACAGTTACTGGACTTGAGAAAACTATCTTCCTGAAAAATTATATTAAGAGAAAGATTTTATAAATTTCAACAGCCAAGCTGCTTGGTCAATGAATGCCGAAAGTTTCCTTATGAATAAACAGTTAACATTACCATTATTACACACAATTTTCTACCTATATCCGTATATAAGTATTAAATCTTTACCATTTACATTATTCGGACTATTGTCCTCAACTTTGTCGCCATATTTATTACAACGTTTCGGCCGTTGTACGCTCCAGCCTTCTTCAGGTGGTTGGAATGTCGAACTGAACCTTTTATTTCGCTCACTGAGGTAGACAGTTCTAGTTCCACGTGCCATGTTTAATAGATTTCAGTTATCAGTTCAATACCTTTTTAAGGCAGTGGAAAACTTGGAGAGGGGAATTAACAGGAGATAACTGATAGCTGACATCCATTACACATGGCACGTGGAACTAGAACTAGTCTACCTGAGTGAGCGAAATAAAAGGTTCAGTTCGACAGGTGGTTCTCGGCCTTTTGGCTAAGATCAAAGTGTAGTATCTGTTCTCGACTCGTTCGAGACCCTTTCTTGACGTGGCCCTGTTTAGGGAGGAGGTAACCATCTGCGGGTTGGATTTTCTCCGACGATACCCCGGAATCGTTGAAGCAGACGGCCAGGAGGCAGGAAGTTCCCAACTTAGGTTGGGACATCTCCGACTGTTCAACCGAACAGTCGAAGTAGACGACCTGGAGGCAGGAGGTTTCTAATCTTGGGTTAGAATATCTCCGACTGTTCACCCGAACAGTCGAAGTAGACGGCCTGGAGGCACCCCACTTTTAGTGGGGTACCCGTGACGTCCTTCCCGTGTTCGAGGATGGGCGCCATGGCGGAACCCCGCCTGGAATACCCCGCCCCACCCACGCCGAGGGTTTCACCTCCAGAAGCTGATGCATCTGAGCTTTGCGACCACCAGCTCCCTCCAGAAGAGGCAACTTGCGATCAACAGCCGCCTTCAAATAAGGCATCCGGTGATCCCCAGCCGCCTCCCAAAGAGGCACCCTGTGATCCCCAGCCGCCTCCCAAAGAGGTAAACAGCACCAGGGAAAAGCCTCCCAAAGAGACATCCAGCACGGGCCAGCTGCCACCCAAAGAGGCAGTGAAAGAGACTGTGACCGAGGCACTACACTCCAAATGGAAGTCCTCGCCTATTCCTGTCTTTAATCTCTAGGAATTTCTTGAGAGGGCAGATGGGTACACCCATCTCCTGAAGAAGGGCGGGCTGACTCTGGATCCGGTGGATGTGGAGAGGTTCGCCAAGAGAACAATGTCAATCTTCGTGGTAGACAAAGTTACCCGGAAGGATTTGTCGATCCACGAAGGACATTTTTTTTTAAGTCCTTGACGTCTCTGGGGTTTGCGCCCCAGCAGATTGTTCGGGGAACCAAACCCTTTATGTGGGACGTGCTGCTGCCCTCGTCGGAAAATTGCCTCTCCATGATCAATCGAGACCTGATAACGAAGGATCTCATCCTTCGGACGGAGTACAAGGGCATGAGACGGAACAGGGTGGCTGTCTACGAGGTTCCCGCACTAGTGAAGGGAGAGGCGCTGGCTGCCTATTTTAAGCAGTTCGGTCAAGTCCTCAGCGTCTCCTCGAATGTCAGGCTCGGCACTGTTGTTAAAACTAGACTGGCTGTTGGGCTCGAAAAAGAGCTGCAATCTGGGATTGACTGGGGTAGGAAATGGTTTGTAACCATTAATGCCCCAGAACTGCTCTTATTTACCCACCATAGAGAAACTTCCCTGCCTTCTATAAGCATGGATGATGCTCAACTTCACGAGCGTCTTCTGCACCTTTTTGGTCAAATGTTTTCCACTGACCTGAATCAGTAGATATATATACCGCAAGGAAAGTTGGTTCTCTGTGTCGTGCCAGAAGGTTTTTCTCGTCTGAGGTCCATCCTTCAACTCTACAAATCTACCCTTCGTCCTTGCATTGAATACTGTTGCCATACATGGCCTGATGACCCTACTCTTAATTTCGAGTTTCTCGACAAAATCCAAAGACGGATACAGTGCTGTTCGATAAAAGTGACTCACCTTATCCTTTGAATTTAGCTCAGCTTTCGTTTCATCGGAGAAGAGAACATTCTTCCAGTCTTCTACGGTGAAGTTTTTGTAATAGTGAGCCTATTCAAGTCTTTTGGCTTTGTTGGCTTTGCTTATTAGCGGCTTAAACCTTCGTGTACAAGATTTGTAGCCTTGTTCTAACAAGATTTTTAACCTTGTTCTGACGGACTGTTGAAGAGGCAAAACTTGCCCTCCGCTTAGACTGGCTGCAATTTCTTGGCTAGTTATAGTCCTATTCATCGTAACTTCTCTCTTGATTAACCTGCCAGTTCTATCATCAATCTTTTTCTTTCTTCCCCTTGTTTCCTTTCTTGGAGCAGGAGTGGCATCATTATGTGCCCTAAGCACCCGAGAGACAGTTGATTGCGAGGTTATA